TTGGACCCTCTAGAACCCACAAGAAGTTTCTAGAGACTTCTAGAAAGTTTCATTCTATTATTACAAAATCTAAAGAGTTTGGTGAATGGGAGCTAAAAAAAAAGGTAAAAAGGGGGTCTAGTAGCTACAGATTTAAGTCATCATTTTAAGTTAGGTTTTGTATTTTATAGTGTAAGTGTAAAGAAGTAGAACAAAATGGGGCTTCGTAACATAGCAGTAAAAAAATCAGTCAATCAGTACAAAAATTTATTTCAGAAATTGACAAAAAACATCTCAAGGTAAAAAGCATATTTCAGATTGCTAAGATATAATACCTAGACTTTTTTTATTATAGGTGTCCTGATTTTTGTTATTAGTTTGTGTTGGGCCCTGTCAATGGATATAACAAACGAAATTAAAGTTATTACTACCATTGTGATAGTTATGGAAGAGTGGTTGCATTAGTTACTTTCCAATCTTGATAGAATCATTTAAATGGTCATATAGGGGATAAATTATTTCCCACTCTACAGCCTCTTTCCCCACAGGCATAATGTCAAAGGTCTATTGCAATTTCACCCTCATTTCCTATATATTGTTTTAATCATTTCACACCAAGCAAGGTAATAAAACAAGTCTTGTATCACTAAGCCATTGTTATCTCCCAAAAAATACTTACTATTTAAAAAAAAATTTCTATCTTTAAATAACCTGTAAAACCATAGAAAGCGTATTGATCAATCAATCAATCATATCTTGACTTTAAAAATTTCATTTGTCTTGATAACAAAATTTTATATCTTATGCTTCAATTAACTTTACTTGATTTTTTTATAGTAAAAATCTGTAAATAATTGAATCTCAGGAGTAAAGTTGATAAAGTTGGCTTTCCCAATTACTCGAAATTGACCTACAAAAACGTGATTTGATGAAATGATGTCAACCTATTGACTGACAAATGTAATCTTAAGCTGAACTTTACACAATGATAATTTACTATGGGGAGTCAGAGAAATTCTATGCTGGTTTGATGTATAAAATATCATTACAGTTTTGCAAATCCAGGCAAAATAGAGAGATTATATGCATATTGAATATGAATTTACACATAGAAGATTAATAAGCAAAATTATTGGAATGAGTTGGGTGAGAAAGAAAGAGTAGGGAAACAGAAAGAAAGAAAGAGTAGGGAAACAAAGAAAGAAAGAAAGGAAGAAAGAAAGAGTAGGGAAACAGAAAGAAAGAAAGAAAAGAAAGAAAGAAAGAAAGAAAGAGTAGGGAAACAGAAAAAAGAAAGAAAGAAAGAGTAGGGAAACAGAAAAAAAGAAACAGAAAAGAAAGAAAGAAAGGGAAACAAGAAAGAAAGAGTAGGGAAACAGAAAGAAAGAAAGAAAAGAAAAGAAAGAAAGGGAAACAGAAAGAAGAAAGAAAGAAAGAAAGAAAGAAAGAAAGAAATAGAAAACAAAGAAAGAAAGAAAGAAAGAAAGAAAGAAAGAAAGAAACAGAAAAAAGAAAGAAAGAAAGAGAGGAAACAAAGAGGGAAAACAGAAAGAAAAAAAGAAAGAGTAGGGAAACAGAAAGAAAGAAAGAAAGAAAGAAAGAAAGAAAAAGAAAGAAAGAAAGAAAAGAGGGAAACAGAAAGAAAGAAAGAAAGAAAAACAGAAAAAAAGAAAAGAGGGGAAACAGAAAGAAAGAAAGAAAAACAGAAAGAAAGAGAAAGAAAGAAAGAAAGGAAAAAAAGAAAGAAAACAGAAAGAAAGGAAAAGAAAGAAAGAAAGAAAAACAGAAAGAAAAGAAAGAAAGAAAGAGAGGGAAACAGAAAGAAAGAAAAGAAAGAAAAACAGAAAGAAAGAAAGAAAGAAAGAAAAAAAAAGAAAGAGTAGGGAAACAGAAAAGAAAGAAAGAGTAGGGAAACAAACAGAAAGAAAGAAAAAAAAAGGAAAGAGTAGGGAAAACAGAGAAAGAAAAAAAGAAAGAAAGAAAAAGAAAGAAAGAGAAAAAAGAAAAGAAATAAAGAAAGAGAAACAGAAAGAAAAAAAAAGAGGGAAACAGAAAGAAAGAAAGAGAAAGGGAAAAAGAAAGAAAGAAAGAAAAAAAAAGAAAGAAAGAGAGGAAACAGAAAGAAAGAAAGAAAGAAAGAGAAAACAAAGAAAGAAAACAGAAAGAAAAAAAGAAAGAAAAAGAAAGAAAGAGAGAAAAGCAGAGAAATATAAGGAAAGAAAGAAGGAAGATTAAAATATTAAGAAAGAAAGAAAGTAGAAATATTAGAAAGAGCAAGAAAAAAAAAAAGAAAGAAAGAAAGAACAAATGAAAGTGAAAAAAAAAAGGAAAAAAAAGAATATTAAGAAAGAAAGAAAATAGAAATATTAGAAAGAATTGAAAAATATAAAAAGAAAGAAAGAAATATTATGAAAGAAAGAAAGCAAGAAAAAGCAAATTAAAATATTATGAAAGAAAAAGGAAGATAGAAATGGGAAAGAATGAAGAAATAAATGAAGAAAGAAATGGGGAAAGAAAAGAAAATTTGGTAAATATTTAAGGAAGAAAGAAATGCCAAAATGTAAAGAAAGAAGGAAACAAACATAGAAGGATAGAATAAGGGGGTAATATTAAAAAATGAAAGAAGGAAAGATTAAGAAAATATCAAATATAAAATGTAAGACAGTCTAGCACCAGACTCTTTTATTAAACAAAGGCTATCAAACCTGGTCTGTTAGCAAAAACCAGAAAGTTTAGATATTTTTATTTTTTTTATGCTTTTCTGCCCAAGCAAGGAAGCCACTAGCACTTAAAGGTTACATAGGATTTGGAACAAGAGCAGATAGAATAGAGGAAAGGATGAAGAGAAAGATAGGAGATAGATCAAGGCATCTGAATTGAGAAATTTGAATAGTTGGAATTGTAGCTATCAGGGAAACAGAAAAAGAGGTGGGAACAGGCGAGAGGTGTGAGACATGAAGCTATTGGAGTAGAAGAGATGGCTACATTTAACAGTTAGACAGTGAAATGGTTTTGGAAGATGCCAGTCTAGTAAAACGCTTTAAATTCATGAAGTCTGAAATCGAAAAGCAGCTCATTGGAGCAGTTAAAGTATTTGTAAAAAAAGACAGAGGGGAGGCAACGAAGTCTGTGAGAGAGCAGCTGCAAAGATGCCAGATCAGGGCCAATTACATTGCATATCCGTCTCTGGATCTTATAAAGAATCTTGAGACAAACAGAAGGGGCACTGGACGATATATGGCCAAATACTCCATGCAAGGACGAATAGCTGATTTGTAGATTTGAAGGTTTGACTCCAGCGAAAAAAAAATTTCCTAGCACAGCACAGGGGAGCAAATTTTCCTTGTGATGGAAGAAGATTGACTCAATGTATTTGTTCCATCTCAGGTTAGCAGTCAATGTGAGACTGAGTATTCAAGAAGAGGAGTTTCCTCAAGGAATCAGACATTCTTAATGAAATGGTTCTCTGTGGTGAGTAATAAAAAGAGCAGTTTTGTTTTTGAGGTGTTAAAGTTAACTAGCCAAGATTATCGAAGAATCTTTTTTGTTCAAATACTGTTATCAAGAATCGTGTTCATAAAGCTTTGTATTCTAAGTAGCAACAAGAACAAGCAAAATAATGGTAGAGATTGAAATCATAAAAAGAAAATCACAATGTCCCTCTAATCAGTTAGTGAAAGGTTAAACAATTAACTGTTCATACATTTTATGGTTTATCTAAATTTCTTTTTTTTATGTGCCATGTCCTTTAGGACGAAAATCATGGCTCTCCCCTTTACATCCCTTGTGGCTCTCAATAAGATCCTGCCATCCACTTGATTAAGCCTTTCCTCATCCACCCCTGTGAGTATCAATTCTCCAGGCCCTACTTTCTCATTATGTATCCAGAAATATGAACTCCTGTTATATATTTTTTTGGACCCTCTAGAACCCACAAGAAAGTTTCTAGAGACTTCTAGAAAGTTTCATTCTATTATTACAAAATCTAAAGAGTTTGGTGAATGGGAGCTAAAAAAAAAGGTAAAAAGGGGTCTAGTAGCTACAGATTTAAGTCATCATTTTGGTTAGGTTTTGTATTTTATAGTGTAAGGTAAAGAAGTAGAACAAAATGGGGCTTCGTAACATAGCAAGTAAAAAAAATCAGTCAATCAGTACAAAAATTTATTTCAGAAATTGACAAAAAACATCTCAAGGTAAAAAAGTATATTTCAGATTGCTAAGATATAATACCTAGACTTTTTTTATATAGGTGTCCTGATTTTTGTTATTAGTTTGTGTTGGGCCCTGTCAATGGATATAACAAACGAAATTAAAGTTATTACTACCATTGTGATAAGTTATGGAAGAGTGGTTGCATTAGTTACTTTCCAATCTTGATAGAATCATTTAAATGGTCATATAGGGATAAATTATTTCCACTCTGAAAATCTTTCCCCCACAGGCATAATGTCAAAGGTCTATTGCAATTTCACCCTCATTTCCTATATATTGTTTTAATCATTTCACACCAAGCAAGGTAATAAAACAAGTCTTGTATCACTAAGCCATTGTTATCTCCCAAAAAATACTTACTATTTAAAAAAAAATTTCTATCTTTAAATAACCTGTAAAACCATAGAAAGCGTATTGATCAATCAATCAATCATATCTTGACTTTAAAAATTTCATTTGTCTTGATAACAAAATTTTATATCTTATGCTTCAATTAACTTTACTTGATTTTTTATAGTAAAAAATCTGTAAATAATTGAATCTCAGGAGTAAAGTTGATAAAATTTGGCTTTCCCAATTACTCGAAATTGACCTACAAAAACGTGATTTGATGAAATGATGTCAACCTATTGACTGACAAATGTAATCTTAAGCTGAACTTACACAATGATAATTTACTATGGGGGAGTCAGAGAAATTCTATGCTGGTTTGATGTATAAAATATCATTACAGTTTTGCAAATCCAGGCAAAATAGAGAGATTATATGCATATTGAATATGAATTTACACAGAAGATTAATAAGCAAAATTATTGAATGAGTTGGGTGAGAAAGAAAGAGTAGGGAAACAGAAAGAAAAAAGAAACAAAGAAAAGAAAAAGGGAAAGAAAGAAAGAAAAAAGAAAGAAAGAAAAGAAAGAAAGAAACAGAAAGAAAGAAAGAAAAGAATAGGGAAACAGAAAAAAAAGAAAGAAAGAGAGAAACAGAAAAAGAAAAGAAAAGAAAGGGAAACAAAGAAAGAAAGAAAGAAAGAAAGAAAGAAAGAAAACAGAAAGAAAGAAAGAAAGAAAGAAAGAAAGAAAGAAAGAAAGAAACAGAAAGAAAGAAAGGAAACAGAAAGAAAGAAAAGAAAGAAATAGGGAAACAGAAAAAGAAAGAAAGAAAGAAAGAGAAAGAAACAGAAAGAAAGAAAGAAACAGAAAGAAAGAAAGAAAGAAAGAAAGAGTAGGGAAACAGAAAGAAAGAAAAGACAAAAGAAAGAAAAGAAAGAAATAGAAATAAACAGAAAGAAAGAAAGAAAGAAAGAAAGAGTAGGGAAACAGAAAGAAAGAAAGAAAGAGTAGGGAAACAGAAAGAAAGAAAGAAAAGAAAGAGGGAAAAAGAAAGAAAGAAAGAAAGGAAAACAGAAAACAGAAAGAAAGAAAGAGTAAACAGAAAGAAAGAAAGAAAAGAAAGAAAGAGTAGGGAAACAAACAGGAAAAAAAAAGAAAAGGTTGTTGAAAGAGTAGGGAAAAAGAAAGAAAAGAAAGAAAGAAAAGAGTGGGAAACAGAAAGAAAGGATAAAAAAGGAAACAGAAAGAAAAGAGAAAACAGGAAAAGTATAGAAAAGAAAGAAAGAGAAAAGGAAAAGAAAGAAAACTGAAGAGAAAAGGAAAGAAAGAAGGAAAGAAGGAAGATTTTAGATCCAGAAAGAAAAAGAAATTTAGAAAGAAGGAATTGAGAAATATAAAAAAAGAAAGAAAGAAAGAGTAGGGAAACAGCAAGAACAAATGAAAGTGAAAGAAAGAGTAGGGGAACATAAGGAAAGGAAGAAAAAGAGAATATTAAGAAAGAAAGAAAATAGAAATATTAGAAAGAATTGAAAAATATAAAAAGAAAGAAAGAAATATTATGAAAGAAAGAAAGCAAGAAAAAGCAAATTAAAATATTATGAAAGAAAAAGGAAGATAGAAATGGGCGAAGAAAGAATGAAGAAATAAATGAAGAAAGAAATGGGGAAATATTAGTAAAGAAAGAAAAATTTGGTAAATATTTAAGGAAGAAAGAAATGCCAAAATGTAAAGAAAGAAAGAAACAAACATAGAAGGATAGAATAAGTGGGGTAATATTAAAAATGAAAGAAGGAAAGATTAAGAAATATCAAAATATAAAATGTGTAAGACAGTCTAGCACCAGACTCTTTTATTAAACAAAGGCTATCAAACCTGGTCTGTTAGCAAAATGTACCAGAAAGTTTAGATATTTTTATTTTTTTATTAAGCATTTCACCCCAAGCAAGGCGGGAAGCCACTAGCACGCAAGGGGTTACATAGGATTTGGAACAAGAGCAGATAGGAGTGATAGAGGAAAGGATGAAGAGAAAGATAGGAGATAGATCAAGGCATCTGGAGATGTTGATTGACATTACATTTGAATAGTTGGAGATTGTAGCTATCAGGGAAACAGAAAAAGAGGTGGGATTTCCACAGGCGAGAGGTGTGAGACATGAAGCTATTGGAGTAGAAGAGATGGCTACATTTAACAGTTTCGACAGTGAAATGGTTTGAGCGAGATGCCAGTCTAGTAAAACGCTTAAATTCATGAAGTCTGGAAATCAGCGAAAGCAGCTCATTGGAGCAGTTACCGTGGAAGTATTTGTAAAAAAGACAGAGGGAGGCAACGACACGTCTGTGAGAGAGCAGCTGCAGACGAGATGCCAGATCAGGGCCAATTACATTGCATATCCGTCTCTGGATCTTATCAAGAATCTTGAGACAAACAGAAGGGGCACTGGACGATATATGGCCACAATACTCCATGCAAGGACGAATAGCTGATTTGTAGATTTGAAGGTTTGACTCCAGCGAAAAAAATTTCCTAGCACAGCACAGGGAGCAAATTTTCCTTGTGATGGAAGAAGCTATTGACTCAATGTATTTGTTCCATCTCAGGTTAGCAGTCAATGTGAGACTGAGTATTCGCAAAGAGGAGCCCTCAAGAAGTTGAGCATCAGACATTCTAATGAGAAGCAGGGATGGTTCTCTGTGGTGAGTAATAAAGAGCAGTTTTGTTTTTGAGGTGTTAAAGTTAACTAGCCAAGATTATCGAAGAATCTTTTGTTCAAATACTGTTATCAAGCCCAATCGTGTTCATAAAGCTTTGTATCTCTAAGTAGCAACAAGAACAAGCAAAATAATGGTAGAGATTGGAATCATAAAAAGAAAATCACAATGTCCCTCTAATCAGTTAGTGAAAGGTTAAACAATTTTCCAACTGTTCATACATTTTATGGTTTATCTAAATTTCTTTTTTATGTGCCATGTCCCTTTAGGACGTAGTCAATCATGGCTCTCCACTTCCCCCATCCCTTGTGGCTCTCAATAAGATCCTGCCATCCACTTGATTAAGCCTTTCCCTCTATCCACCCTGTGAGTATCAGATTCTCCAGGCCCTACTTTCTCATTATGTATCCCAGAAATTTCATCTGCCTCTTCTTTATGTTGCGTATAAGTTTCCTCCTTGTTTGCGTCCTCTCTAAGATCTCATTGTTGCTTACACACTCACTCCATGATATCATTAGCATCCTTCTGTAGAACCACATCTTCACCATGTCAAGTCTCTTCTTCATCTTTGAGGAAACCGTCCAATATTCGCTGCTGTATAGGTTCTTGATTATTCTAATATCTTTCCTGAATATATCAAGGTTATGGAGCAGTTCCAACAGATGCTTTCTTGATATTTGATTGTGGAGTTCTCTGTGGATGGACAACTGGTACAGATTTGTGATCGAAGGCCATTTATAGCAGAGTGTAGAGGATTTTGGAATCCTTTTGAGCAGAGGCATTTCTGATTTCTTTGAAAATTAAACCGTTTCCTAAGATCAATGGTGAAAAAAGGCTTTGAGCAATTAAAGCCTGAGAGGCTTGGCAAAGATCATCCTACTTGAAACATTGTGGAAATGTGCTACAGAATCATAAACAAAGAACTGTACCAAATAACAGAAACCACATCACTTAAAGACTACCAACAGTAGCAACAACTAAAATGGATAGCATATGTAACTTGAAGTGAAAATAATGACATAACCAAGACATTAAAATTTCACATCAATTCAAATAGAAGGTTCAGGAGGAAACTCGTATCAATACTGGAAAGAGTGATAACAGCTACTGGACATGAGAAAGATTTTATAAATTTCATCCGAAAACACTACTAGCTGCTCAGTCAATAAATGCCAAATTTTTTCTCATAGGGACACAGCTAATATTACCATTACCATTCCACCAAACATTCTTCATTTTCTGTAGCTGATTCTAAAGAACGGATTTATATTCTTTTTATATGGGCGACAATTCAATGTAACTTGGTAACAATTTTTTTTTTAAATCATATAGTCCTCTAATAAATGCCTCATTGTCATCAAACCAATCAAGGCAATCAAGGTACACTATCAAAAACACCAAAAACGTTCAAATTTACAGAATAAATTGGATTTTTGAAGGCCTCCTAAGAATCCTCCAGAAAAATCTTCTAGATTAACTGCACCAAGACTTTGGCTACAGACATCTGCCTTAGCAGGCTGAGAAACATTCATCTGCATACATGCCTTTATGTAATTCATTCTAATATTATTTTTCATGTCCAACTTATGCAAGTTGCTAAAAAACCAAAGCATTAACCTAAAAACTTGAGTCAACTCAAATAGCCTTGTCAGATCGAGACGTTCCGACAGATATTATGCAAGATGCCAAATTTAATTAATTTTCCAACCTACCCTTTTATTGCAACCTCCCATCTCTCATTTTCTTTTTATATTCCAAAAGTGATTTAATTCTGAATAAATTTTCCAACCTCCACTTCTATTCTTGACATAAAAATCAGATAATATTAACTTTCTAAATTCTTTAAAGAATACAAAAAATACAACTGATTTCAGTATTTGAAGGTATTTACTTGGTTTATATAACAACATGGATACAATGTATGAGAAAGAAAGACGTTTTCAACCTAACAGGACAAGCATGGTTGTCAGCAAAAAAGACAGTCCAATGTGTAAACTGTAAACTATACAATGGGGTCTGTCTATATTTCTGAGATGAGGTATTATGTACATTATTTACATTATTCGGACTATTGTCCTCATCTTTGTTGCCATATTTATTATGTTTTGGCTGTTGTACGCTCCTGCCTTCTTCAGGTGGTTGGAATATCAAACTGAACCCTTTATTTCGCTCCCTGGGGTAGACTGTTCTAGTTTCATGTGCCATGTTTAATGGATGTCAGTTATCAGCTATCTCCTGTTAATTTCCCTCTGAAAGTTCTCCACTGCCTTAACCGACACATGGACACATGGCACATTGGATAAAAGCATTGCTTAGATCCAGTGACAGGACCCAAAGAGTGCGAGTTCAATACCCGATTAAGGCAGTGGAGAACTTTCAGAGGAAAATTAACAGGAAATAACTAATAACTGATAACTGACATCCATTAAACATGACATGTGGAACTAGAACAGTCTACCCCATTGAGCGAAATAATGGTTTCAGTTTGACATTCCAACCACCTGAAGAAGTTCGGAGTGTACAACGGCCGAAATGTAATAAATATGGCGGCAAAGATGAGGACAATAGTCTGAATAATGTATACAATGGGGATATTAAAAATCAAGCAGGTGAAGAAATTTAATGGCCAGAGACTAGCAGTTGCAGACAAGTTCATCTACCTTAGTGGCACTCTGTCACACTCTGGCAACATCAGTGAGGAAGTGGCCTACAGAATTGCCAAAGCCAGCATGGCCTTCAGCAGACTGAAAGAGAAAGTCTGGGATTGATGAGAGCTGAGCCTTAACACCAAGCTCAAACAGTATGGGGCAGTAGTACTACATACCTGCTCTATGTGTGCAAGATGTGAAAAGTCTACAGCTAGCATGCTAAACAGCTAAATGCCTTCCATATAAAATTCTTCAGGATCCTGCTCGATGACAAGTGGCAGGACAGAGTGCTGGGATGGAGAGCATCCATACCATCCTACTTCAATATCGGCTCTGGTGGACTTGCCACGTCTGTCACATGGACGACTCTCATCTCCCAAAGAGATTACTCTATGGCAAGTTATCCACAGGCAAACGCTAACTTGGCAGAGCAAAGATGCATTACAAAGACATGCTGAAGGAGTCTCTCAAGCATTGTGTCATTCCCCATTCCATCTGGGAAGAGTCTGCTGAGAACCATGATGTCTGGCATTCCCTTGTAAAGCTAAGGTGGCTTATAGGCTAGTTAATGATAAAACAAATTTTCTTTTAATGATAATTCACTCAATACTAGGCCCAAGAACAACTAAATGTAGAGCATTACTGAGTGAGATTGTATGGAAGTGGGAAGCAAGAACAGTATTGTGAGGACAAATAGGATAGACAACAAGATTGTAGTTGTCAGAGAAGCATACTTTTGGGAGTTTGTTCCACCAAGTAACAGTCCTGGGGAAGGAAATGGAAATGTTTTGGCACCATGAACATGGTATGGGCAGGTCCTAGCTGTGAAGGTCTGAACTGGTGGCACTAAGGAATTTAACTTGTCTAAACATCTGCCATAGAAATAGTGATATAGAAGTGAAAGGCTTGCAATGTTTCCTCTGCAGGATAAGAGTTACAGGGTAGAGAATAATTTATCACCCACAAGGCTGCATAAGCACTTGTTGACTCCACTAAGGCTGAACAATGAGGATTGAGCAGCAGCAGTCCAAATATTGCAGCAATTCTCTATTCTTGGTTTAATCTGATTAAATATAAAGACTAAATATAAAGATAAAACATGGCAGTATG